CACACAACTGGACACACATCAATAACTAGTTAGTTGTCCCATTCACATCCATGTGCACATACATCAATAACTGGCCTGGTCTTTAATGAAGACACAGGGAAATCAAGGCTTTCTATGCAGAATATAGAGCCCATGGAATAGCCAATTGATAATTTAGATTTTATATCAGGATCAATTAAATGAAACTTGAAACTCATCAACTTTCTGCTCAAGTGACAAATAAGTAAATGACAGGCTGTGAAGAGGAAGAAATGTTGGCAAATCACACACCCAACACCATTTGTGCATCCAGACTGTGAGAGGAACTCTCAACACTCAACTGTTGGAAAACCCATTGATGAACTGGCAAAGACGTGTACAGATATTGTGTAGTTGTCCATAGGCTAATGCATGTCAATTGCACACTTGGTGACCGTGAGGTTCATGTAGGCATTTATCCTCAGTGAGGTTGTTGACGGTAAGCAGTCGATGAGATGAGAGGAAGTGACAGACATTCAGATGATGACAGAAGAAATGCAGGCTTGTCAGCAGTGTCCCCATGAGCCTGGCTCTCTGAGTCTTCTTTCAGCAGATGGTGTGGTCTATCACGTCTCTTCTGCTCTCACTAGAGGACAGTGATGGACACAGTCGCAGCCAGACTCACTTGGCTGGAGAATGGAGCAGAGGACACTGACCTCAGCAATGAGGGAGAGGAAGGACAGATGACGTAGCAGACATGAGATCTTCTCCCCAGAGCACACGGCTGTGTGGAACCTGTGTGTACTTTCCCGTCTGTGCAGGGAGGTGACTGTAGTATTCAGATCAACGTGGGATGAATACGTGGATAACCAGCAGGTGGAAGCAATGGAGTGCCATGTGTTCTGGGAGGCCATCTTTGTAGCAATGCCCCTCAGGACTCTCACATCTGCCCAGAAAAGCTGCAGAATAGGCTAAAGTGGGAGGTGTGTGCCTAAATCGGAAGCCCAGACTTCAAAACAGTACACAGAAGGAAAGAAAGAGAGACAGACAGAGAAAGAGCGCACAGCCCACTAACCCATGACTCTTAACAGGCCTCAAATGCTGCCCTCTTCCCTCCACCTGTGGCACTGCTCAGGGGTTCAGAACTGACCTAACAGAATTGCTCCATTCATTCACTTCTGACTCAGTAATTCTTGGTATCACAGCCTCCTTTTTTCTTTGTCCAGCCAACAAATGTACTTGGGGACCCAAATCATAAAACACAGGGGTCAGCCATACCCTGGGAGCTCAGCCGATGGTACCTTGGAAACGTGGTGAACTCCTCAGTCTCCCCTGAGCAGGGCCTCTTGCTGTCCTCCAGGGGACCTGGAAGTGGACACGAGGAGTCTGGCTTGGACTGGACAGACAACAGGCCATGTGCATGTAGACTGCCCTTGCTGGGCCCCGTCTGTCCTGGGGTTTCCTCCATCATGATGGCTCTGGAGTCCTGTGGATGTCCTGTCTGGGATGGAGGCCAGATCCCTGTGGCTCTGTCATGAGCACTGTCACCGTGCACATGCATCGTGGGGCTGGGCCCAGGTGATCTCACAGCAATCTGACTGAGCTCCCTGCATCCCGGATGCCCCCACCTGCTCAAACAGGTCCTTGTTTATTTCTCCATTACATCCTGATCAGAGAAGAGCAAGCTTCACTTCCTGAACAAGAACGTGTGTGTGAACTCTACAGGCTTTAGGAAGAAGACTTCTGAGTTCTGAGGTTTTCCCTTAAAAGATTTTGTGGATAGGAGTTCCGGGAAGATGGTGGAGGAGAAGCTGGAATCTGAACAAGCTCTTGCATAGAAAACAGTTTCAGAGTTCCAGTGAACAGTCCCAAGCCAGAGAATCACACCAAGTGTGCCATCACAGGACAGAGAGTTAGTCAAGAGAGGGGAAGCCAAGCAGACACATCTGAGCGTCTGCCAGCAGCTGCTGCTGCGGCGGCAGGGTCGCAGCGGCGACCGCAGCCGCGGCCATACCTGAGCGCTCACACAGAGAGTCCGGGACGAAGGAGCCAGACGCAGCGGGCGAGTGGATTCTACTCAACACCAGCAAGAACCGACAAGGAGCGGACAACTTCATCCTGCACTTTGCAGACCAGAGACGACCCAGGATACAAGACTCGGCGTGAGTAGAAGCCCCACTTCCTCACTCCTTCCCAGGGAGCAGAGGAGGGAAGGCCACCCCTCCCCCCACCCAGCACCGGTGATCTCCATCTTGGATACCGACAAAGCTCGGAGGAGCGGCTAGCTCCAGCTCAGGCCTTGGAATAAAACGAGTCATTTAGCAGGTCACAAGAACTTAACGGCGAAGTGACCTCACAGACTCAGTTCCATCCAGGGAAAAGTCACCCAGCTCAGGCGCCAGCCATTGGAGTGGCTCTCCTCACCGGGTAACCAGAGCCAGAGGCTGCCCCTCCCTCTAGCAGCCACCACAACCAATTGAAAAACAGAAACCCTGAGAATGGCTCCAGGCTGGGTGCTGTGAGTTTTTTTCACAAAATAGCCCCAGGGAAAAGCTACTGTTTGTTGAAAGGCCTCAACTCTACCCAGAACCTAGCCTCATCACTGCATCCCCCTCTTTTGTGATTCTCAAAGCAGATCACCCTCCCAGTAAACTAACCTGGGAGGGGGAATCTCAAAATCTTGGGTAAAGCAGAGCATTTTTCTGCCTGTTCCAACAAACTGACTTAAGAAACCAATCAAGCCACAGGACCTCAAGCTGACCAGAGACTCCAACCACACTCTGGTTACAGACAAAAGGGAGATACAGGACTCTTCCCACCCCTCCCCCCCCCAAAAAAAAAATCAAAGACCTTTTTTTTTTTCTTCTTCTTCTTCTTTTCTTTTTTTCTTTTTTTTTGTTTTGTTTTTTTTTTCATTTTTTGTTACCTTATATATATATATAAAATTTTTTTGCTTTTCTAAAACTTTTATTAATCTTTAATTTTTGCCTCTTCTGAAAAAATAATTGTTTTCCATTAACTTTTTTTTTTCTTTCTCCTCTTATAATTTTTATTTTAGGAATACGTGAATGTGTGTTTTCCTTTCTTTTCTTGTCTTCTTTCTCTTTTCCTTTCATTCTTAATTATCTTTTTGTTTTTTTGTCTAGCTCTACTGAACTTCTGATCTTTTCTTCTCACTTTCCTATCCTTTCCATCTTTTCCTCTTTGTTCTTCTTTATGTGACTTAACTCTTGTCCTGCACATCCTCAGATAAACCCGTAGTTAACCAGTAGACCCTACCCCCCATTGTGTACACACTTAATCCACAAACTTATTACTCAATTCAAAACCTCTGAGACTTAAATTCATTAATAGCAGTACTACCTCTTTATACCTATATAATATTTTAAGCATTTTTTAAAGTTTTTCACATCTCCTCTATGTCCCTCCCTTTCTCTCAACATATTCATATTCCTCTATAAATAGATGGTCTTTTAATCTCTAAAATAACATTAATTTTTACGTTTCTATTTTTTTTTCTGGTCTCTTTTCATTCCCCTTTCCCTTTCTTCTTTTTCTCTCTCTCTCTACTTGCATCCTACCCAACCTATTTCCTGCACTGTGATTAGGACAGAGTTAACTCTCCCTGTGCCTCCCCACACCAATCTATTCCTATTTTTTACCCACATCTCTCCCTAACCCTAATAATTTCTGGTTTTCCAAATTCTTCTCTGCGGTTCGAAGTCCTTTAACATATAGTTGTTTGATGTCGAATAGATGTATCTGTTGAACTAGATTGTATCTGTAGACTATTGACTGTACAAATGCAAACTTTGGTTGATGGTTGCCTTAAGATAGTGTTCTAGCACAAAACTGGTGCTATCTTCCTCTCAAATGGGCAGAGTAAGCCGGAAAAACACAAGAAAAATGGCAAATTCGGGTATCTCAATTCCCAATCTTGATAATCAGGGGTTAGAACAGATAATGAATAATCCAGAGGAGAGTTCCCAAACAGCTCTACAAACACTGCTGGCAAACATGATAAATGAAAAGTTTGACAATGTACAAAGGACTCTGTATGAGCGTGACAGGGAGAGAGAGGAGGCATCCCAGAAGTTTATACAGGAATATCATAAGCGTGAGGAAGCTACTCAAAAACTGATACAGGATTTGCGTGAACAACTTGAGAATACTCAAAGAGAAAGGGAGGAATGGCGTGAGCAGGCTGAGAACACTCAAAGAGATCTGCAGGAATCCCACGAACGGGAGGAAGCTAATCAAAGAGTAATACAGGAATTGAGAGACCAGGTAGAGAACACACAAAGATCACTAAAGGCATTCATGGAATCCATTAACAAAGAGCTGAAGGAAGTCAGGGAGACCACAAAGGGAATGCTGAATGGAACCCAACAGAAGGAATGGGAGCCCAAAGAAACAATAACCAATCAACTAAGTGATTTGAGGACAAACACTGAACACCAAATTAAGGAAGTAAAGAAATTCATACAAGACCTAAAACAGAGCTTCAACAAAGAACTTGAAGCCATCAAAGCTGACCAACTAGAAGGAAAAGAGATAAAAAACAAAGTAGAGAGTCTTGACAGCAGGTTAGACCATGCAGAAGATCGAATCTCAGGGATTGAAGACAGCCTAGATATTATAGAGAAAGAACATACAACCATCCAAGACAAGTCCAAGAAATATGATAGATCTATCCAACACCTGGAAGACACCATCAGAAGGCCTAATCTAAGGATAATGGGTGTAGAGGAGCACCTGGAAACAGAAGTTAATGGTCTAGGAAATTTGTTTAACAAGATCCTAGCAGAGAACTTCCCAAACATACAAAAAGATAGGCCTATTCAGATACAAGAAGCTTTTAGAACCCCAAATAGACCAGACCAGAATAGGACATCCCACCGCCACATTATAATCCACACAGGATCAACTCAGAACAAGGAAAAGATCCTTAAAGCTGTCAGAGAGAAAAGGGTAATCACTTATAAAGGGAAACCAATTAGAATCACCTCAGATTTCTCAGCAGAGACAATCAAAGCAAGAAGAGCCTGGAACGATGTATGCCATGCCCTAAAAACAAACAACTATCAACCAAGAATACTGTACCCAGCTAAACTCTCCTTCATAACCGAAGGCCAAATAAAAACCTTCCATAGCAAAGAAAAATTGAAACAATACATCTCCACCAAACCAGCCCTACAAAAGATTCTTAAAGATGTCCTACACATAGAAAACCAACAAGACCGCAATAAAGGCCAAGAAACTGCACCCAAACTGAGAATCCAAGAACCATAGGAAGAACCCAGTTTTCACAGCCCCCAAGAAGGTAGATAACATGGCAGGAACTCCCAAATACCTCTCAGTCCTATCTCTTAATGTTAACGGACTGAACTCTCCAATTAAGCGACATAGACTGTCTAGTTGGATTAAAAAACAAGACCCTTCTATCTGCTGCCTGCAGGAGTCACATCTTGCCCGTAAAAACAAACACATTTTCAACGTTAAAGGCTGGAACAAAATCTACCAAGCAAACGGACCGCATAAACAGGCGGGAGTTGCAATCCTAATATCAGATAAAATAGACTTCAAATTAAAATTCGTAAAAAGAGATAAAGAAGGTCACTACATACTAATTAAAGGATCTCTCCTTCAGGAGGATATTACAATTCTAAATATCTATTCACCAAACAATGGAGCACCCAAATTTATCAAAGAAACACTACTTTCCCTCAAATCCCATATAGATCCAAAGACATTAATTGTTGGGGATTTTAACACACCACTCTCCCCACTAGATAGATCAACTCGGCAAAAACTCAACAGAGAAACCACAGATCTAAACAGCTGCATAGATCAACTAGACTTAACAGACATTTACCGAACATTTCACCCAGCAGCATCAGAATACACGTTTTTCTCAGCAGCACATGGAACGTTTTCTAAAATAGACCACATTTTAGGCCACAAAGCAAACTTGTCTAAATTCAGAAACATTGAAGTTATACCTTGCATTCTCTCTGACCACAAGGGAATAAAATTAGAACTCAACACCAAAAGCCACCAAAGAAAGTCCGGTATCACATGGAGGCTGAACAACACACTGCTGAACCATGAGTGGGTCATGGAAGAGATTAGAAAGGAAATTCAAATGTTCATGCTATTCAACAAAAATGAACACACAAAATACCAGCTCCTCTGGGACACAGCAAAGGCAGTACTCAGAGGCAAGTTTATAGCTCTGAGCTCCTACATCAACAAATTGGAGAGATCTGAAACTAGCAATTTAATGACGCATCTAAACCTCCTTGAAAAAGAGCAGCAAGATAACCCCCAATCCAGTAGACGGAAAGAAATAATCAAAATTAAATCAGAATTAAATGAATTAGAATCCAAAAAAACTATAGAAAGAATCAACAAAACAAAGAGTTGGTTCTTTGAAAAACTTAACAAAATTGACAGACCCTTAGCAAATCTTATCAGAAAAAGAAGAGAACACACCCAAATTAATAAACTCAGAGATGAGAATGGAAACATCACCACGGAAACAACCAAGATTCAGAACATTATAAGAGAATACTTCTCAAAACTGTATGCTAATAAGTTTGAGAACTTGACAGAAATGGACCTCTTCCTAGCAAATATTGACATGCCAAAACTAAACCAAGATGAGTTAAACTATCTTAACAGGCCCATATCAAGCATTGAAATAGAAACAGCAATAAGAGACCTCCCAGCTAAGAAAAGTCCAGGACCAGATGGTTTTACAGCGGAATTTTACAAGGCCTTCAAAGCAGAGCTCACACCAATTCTCCTCCAACTCTTCAATGAAATTGAAAGAGAAAGCTCACTACCGAACACATTCTATGAAGCCATCATAACCCTCATCCCAAAACCAGGCAGGGACTCATCAAAGAAAGAGAACTATAAACCCATTTCTTTGATGAACATTGATGCAAAACTTCTCAACAAAATTTTGGCCAACCGACTTCAACAATTCATCCAAAAAATCATACACCACGATCAAACAGGATTCATTTCAGGGATGCAAAGCTGGTTCAATATACGCAAATCAATTAATATTATTCATCACATCAACCGGAGCAAGAATAAGAACCACATGGTTATCTCAATAGACGCAGAAAAAGCATTCGACAAGATCCAACACCCCTTTATGATGAAGGTTTTGGAAAAATTAGGAATCCATGGAACATTCCTCAATACAATAAAGGCTGTATATGACAAACCTACAGCCAGCATTATACTCAATGGTGAAAAACTAAAGCCATTTCCTCTTAACTCAGGAACAAGACAAGGATGCCCACTCTCTCCACTTCTCTTCAATCTAGTATTAGAATGCCTAGCTACAGCAATAAGACAAGATGCAGACATAAAGGGGATCCAAATAGGGAAAGAAGAAATAAAACTCTCCCTCTTTGCAGATGACATGATCTTGTATTTAAAGAATCCCATAGACTCCACTCCCAAATTACTCAAGCTGATTCAAAACTTTGACAAAGTAGCAGGTTATAAAATTAACCCCCAAAAATCCATGGCTTTTCTGTATGCCAACAATGAGAAAAGTGTGGCTGAAATTAGGAAAGCAACTCCATTTGTAATAGCCCCACAAAAAATAAAATACCTAGGAATTAACTTAACTAAAGAAGTGAAGGACCTCTATGATGAAAACTTTAAAATCTTGAAAAAGGAAATCAACACAGAACTTAAAAAATGGCAAAACCTCCCATGCTCCTGGATTGGAAAGATTAACATTGTGAAAAAGGCAATACTTCCCAAGGCTATCTACAAATTCAACGCAATACCTATCCAAATTCCACCCTCATTCTTCAAGGAAATAGAAGAGGCAATCCAAAAATTCATATGGAACAATAAAAGACCCCGAATAGCAAAAACGCTCCTCAACAGAAAGAACACTGCTGGAGGAATATCAGTACCAAATTTCAAACTCTACTATAAAGCCATAGTAATCAAAACAGCTTGGTATTGGCATAAGAACAGACCTCAGGACCAATGGAATAGAATTGAAAACCCAGAAATTAACCTACAGACCTATAGCCAGCTAATCTTCGATAAGGGAGCTAAAACAATAGAATGGAAGACAGACAGCCTCTTCAGTAAATGGTGCTGGCAAAACTGGTTAACTACATGTAGAAAACTAAAGCTAGATCCTTCTATATCACCCTGCACCAGAATCAACTCCAAATGGATCAAAGACCTTGAACTCAAAGCAGACACTCTGAAAACATTACAGGATGGAATAGGAGAAACCCTGGGTCTCCTCGGCTCAGGCCGAAATTTTCTGAATAGAGACCCGGAAACACAACAAATCAAAGAAAGGTTGGACAAATGGGATTGTATAAGGTTGCAGAGCTTCTGCAGGGCAAATGACATAGCTAGCAAGATCAATAGAAAGCCCACGGATTGGGAGAAGATCTTTACTAGCCATACAACGGACAAGGGTCTCATATCTAAAATATACTTGGAACTCAAAAAATTAAACCACCCAACAACAAATCCTCAAAGAAACAACTGCCCAATAAGTAAGTGGGCAAAAGACTTAAAGAGAAGCTTCTCTGAAGAAGAAAGAAGGATGGCCAATAGACACATGAAGAAATGTTCAACATCCCTAGCCATAAAAGAAATGCAAATCAAAACAACATTGAGATATCACCTCACTCCAGTTAGAACAGCAAAAATCAAGAACTCTAACAACAACAGATGCTGGAGGGGATGTGGACAGAAAGGAACCTTACTTCATTGTTGGTGGGAATGTAAACTTGTTCAACCACTTTGGAAAGCAGTATGGAGGTTCCTCAAAAGACTCCATATAGAGCTCCCAATGACCCAGCAATCCCACTTTTGGGCATTTACCCAAATGACCACAAACAAGGCCACACTAAAGCTACCAGCACAACTATGTTTATTGCAGCATTATTTACCATAGCTAAGATATGGAACCAACCCAGATGCCCCTCAGTAGATGAATGGATCAAGAAGATGTGGTATATATACACAATGGAATTCTATGCCTCCATCAGAAAGAATGACATTGCCCCATTTGTTAGGAAATGGAAAGGCTTGGAAAAAATTATATTAAGTGAAGCAAGCCAGGCCCAAAGAAACATAGGTCCCATGGTTTCCCTTATTTGCAATATCTAGTATAGGTATGAGTCAAGCGGAAAAAGTCAGAGAATGTGATGTTAGGAAAACGAACCCTCAAATATGTATTTTAATGTTTTTGTTTCTTTCATGCATGTGTTTCTAACGCATTTATAATATTATTTCTTTGTTGCTTTGTATGTCCCTCCCCCACAGTGTAACCCCCGCTTTCACTATATTTGATGTCAGTATAACATGTGGAGGAGACGGGGACAAACAAGTCGTTTAAGGATTCAGGTGGACCTGTTGCAACAATGAGAAGTACAAAATGTCATGTCAAAACCAGCTTTACAATGTCGTTGGGGGGGGGGGTATGATTGGGTGGGGGGGAGGGGGGAGGCTGGGAAGGGAGGTGAAGGGTAAACAAAGGAGGAGGCTGCAATGCTTGGTAAGAAATGTATGCATTTTCCTGCCCATGTAATTGTAACCCCTCTGTACAGTATGTTCTCAATTAAAATAAAAAAAATAAAAAGAAAAAAAAGAAAAAAAAAAGATTTTGTGGATAATGAGACAAATCATTCCTCTCACCAGGAGACATCCATTACTCTGTCCATGTGGAGACAGATGTGTCCTCATTGGAAGACAAATCTCCTGGTGAGGAGGCCCTGGTTCCCATAGCACAGGGAGGGGACTGTGGAAGACACTTCTGTATTCATCATTGTAAAGAGTGAAGACAGGATAGGAAGATTTGTACCTAACAGAAATCATCAATACTTTAGACAAAATCTACTTAGCCTACTGAACATTTAGCAATGTATGTGTGTATTTAATACTATATAGTCTCCTGTTGTTGACCTGTGTCCATTAAAATGTATACATAACTAAATTAATTAATTCCAAAGTGAATAAATGAGGAAACATACAATTAAACCTGTGTGAGCTCTACTGATGTCTAGGGGCCTACAGGTCAGCGGTGTGTAGACCTCAGGGTCCAGGCACTGGTGCCACACTGTGTTTCATGGGTAACGGGGACAGGGAAGGATCATCTCAGGGCATGTGTGAATACATCTGATATTGGTGCTCATTTTGCTTCCCTGAAAACATTTTTCAAAATTCCTTCAGAATGGCATATTTTTTCCACCTCTATTAGTACTAAATTCATGATTAAGTATATTTGGATTTAGATTTGCATATTTGGATTTAGATTTGCAGCATTTCCAAAATTATTATTGTTATTATAAATGTGATGTTCACAGGGATTACAGTTGCATAAGTTAGAGAAAGAATACATTTTTCTTTGGACAATATCAACCCTTCTCTAGCTCTCTCCCCATTTCTCCCTCCATCAGTTGTATAAGTCATCATCTACATAGTGCCTAGTGAGTACCACTGCTGCCTTTACTCAGCCTTTTTCCTTCCACTTCTGTGCAGCTCCATGATCCCAAGGGTGTAGTTACTGTGAAACCATTGTGAAATGAAGCTAATCCACATAAGGTCACCTCACATGGACTCCTCCATGTTCTGCAGAGATGATGTCTTCTAGGTTCTGAGACTTGTATCGTCCCTATTGTTGAAGAAATGACCTGGTTTCAGGCTTCTGGATTTCTGAGACTTGTCCTGAGGCTGCTGTAGGATCACTCATGGAGGACGGGCCCTGTGCTGACGAGAAGATGTGTTCTGGAGCCATTACATTACGTGTTCTGCAAACACTGTTAGATCCTGAACTTGTCATCACCTAGCTGGGCACCTGTCAATAATGCGTGTAAGTCTAGTAACTCAGGAACCTGGCATCTGAGGATTGTGTTCTAAGCTAGGCTGGGCAGGAAAGTCCATAGGACTCTGATCTCCAATTAACCACCAAAGGCAAAGAATGGAGCTGGGGCTCAGTAGTAGAGCCTGAGCCTGGAGCAGAAATGCACAGAAACTGCACCCAGGCTGTCCTGGAGTTCAAGGCCCAGGACCACCACCAGAAATAAAAAAAGTAATCATCTGTCATTTTCACTTTAGCTCAGCATGTTGACTGGTGCTTCTCCAGAGAGTCCCTGAAGGTCAAGACGCCGCCTCCAGTAAACGTGTCCTGTGACATCATTACTGGTCAGAGCATGTAGTGTCACCTTGGTGACCCCTCTCAGCACTATTGGATGACAGTCGTATTCACATATTTAGAGGAAACAGCAAGGCAAACCATTCAAAAAGAGCCAAGAACTCAAGACGAGGAAAGCGCAGTGGAGGAGGAATGGACACCATAATTGGAAGGCTCCTAAGAGCGCAGTGCGGGCAGCGGCAGCGCTCACAGAGCCCTGTGCTCCTCAGAGCTTCTCCTCCAGGGGCCGGGGTGAGGATAGGCCGCATCCAGTGCCTGATGCTGTCATTCTACCCTGTGCCAGAGGCGCGAGTGACAGACTCACCGGGTCACCACAGGGGCCAGCCTGCTGCCGACCCTCCAGGGATGTGGATTCCACACATGAACTCCGGTGGAGGGCTTCGCTCCGAGGTCTGACCTGTGTCTTCTGGCTTGCATCCTCTGCCTCCTGCTGCTGCCAGAATCATGGGCTGAGCAGTCAAATGTGGAATTCTCTGGAAAGAGTTGCTCAGCTCTGCTCCAGAGACCAAGAATTCCTGGAGACATGGAGGCAGGGTGAGGACTGTGAGGGAGCACCGTGGGCTCCTGCTGTCCCGTCTCATTCAGACGTTTCCACAGACAGAGATCAGCAGGAAGAGAAACACTGCACTTTTCACAGCAGATGGGGAGTGGGTTTATACACTGGTGCTTTGTGCCTCTTTGTTCCAGGAAGCAAGATCATCTCTCCTTACGAGGCCAATAAGGACACTCCTGCCCTGCAGAACTGGTGTCTGCTCCCTAATATCAAGAGCACACGGGTCAGCAATAAGGAGTGAATAAACGGTTAGTAAATCTCTGTACATCCGTGGCACAGGTAGAAGACTTTCCCTCTCCACCATCACAGTGTGATCCTTGAGAGACCCGGTTCTCGGGATCAGTGATGTCACTACTTGTTCACTGTTTGAGACCGATGCTACACAGCAGTGTGTGCATTTCAACACCAACCCAGTGTCACAGTGACACTGATGAGGAAATGGGGGGGTTAGAACAAGCAAGTGGAGCCAGGCCCCAGTGCTCTCCTTCTCATCCTAGCAGTTCAGGAGAGGATCACACACAGATCTGGGGATCACACTGTAGCCAGTGCAGGAAGGAAAGGCTGTGAGACTCTTACCTCCATTAACGGCCAAAAAGCCAGAAGTGGTGCTATGGCTGAAATGGGAGTGAGCCAGTGTTCCTCAGAATGCAGACATTCTCATGAGGGGTCACTTCTTCCAATCTCCCTCCCAGTTCAGTACACCTCTGAAGACCAGGACAAGCCCTGCAGTCCCAGAACACTCGGTCCACAAGGATTCTCCTGCTTCAGCATGCTTGTTCTTTCTCTTTCCCTCCACTGACACTCAGTGGATCTACTTCCTGATCAAGGTTCTGAGGTTCTGTGAATGTATGTATATGTGTGTTTGTGTATGTATATGTGTTTCTGTTTGTGTGCATAAACATACAAATGATGTGTGTGTGTCAATGTTCCTGCAGGTCTGTTTTCCTGATGTGTGTAGAGATACAGGTAGGGTTTATCTGTGTGTGTGATACAGAGAGACACTGTGCTGATTGCACATATTATATCTCTTGGTCTCTCCTCATAGCCTTCACCTCACTTCCTTCATGGCAGGTCAGGGCCCCCAGTTGAGAGCTTGTCAAGGCAGCGGTGGGATCTGTGAGAGACCCGCAATCACCTCCCCCGGGGGACAGGTGACAGGAGAATGAGGGCGGAGGTCTCTAGAGACCTGTGGTCATCCCCTCCCGGGGGACAGGGGACAGGGACGCTGCCCCTCATATGCAGCCACAAGCAGGGTGCCCGTCACATGCAAATTCCTGCATACACACCAGAGAAGTCACACCCTCACTTAAATTCAGCCTCTTCCGCACTCTGGAAATGCGTCTGCACGTGACAGACGTGACCTCGTGAACATGGAGCAGGTGTGGTCTTTGGGCTCCTGCTGGCAGCTCACAGCGGTGGTGACTTGGGACTGGGCAGGAACGTGGGATGCGGCGTTTGGGCCGAGACGCAGCTGCTCCTCTGTCCACAGCTGTGCTGTCCCAGGTGCAGCTGCAGGAGTCAGGCCCTGGCCTGCGGAGGCCTGTGCAGATGCCGTCCCTCTCTTGTGCGGCCTCTGGTGACTCCATCAGCATGGTGACTGCGGAGCTGGACCTGACAGGCCTCAGGGAAACGCTGGAGTGGACTGGACACATCTATAAATGTGGGAGCACCGCATACAGCCCGAGCCTCCAGAGCAGAGTCACCATGACAGTGCACACCTCCAAGGACCAGTGCTCCCTGCAGCTGAGCTCCGTGACCATGGAGGACACGGCCTTGCACTATGTGTAGGACACAGTGAGGAGACTGGGTGTAAACCCTGACACAAGCCTGCCACAGGGACATGTGGTACCCCTCAGGGACGCCCAGCATGTCCGAGCCCAGAGTCCATCCAGAACTCAGCGTGCAGCCCAGGGCTGGTGTCACCATCTGGCTGCGTCTGTCCAGCCGACTGCCAGGGATCCCTTCTGGATCTGGGAGGCTGGCACTCTGTGGCATCTCTGAGTTCACAATTTGATCATGCTGTTATGATCTTCAAAGAATAAAGCACATTCCCAAAATCAATGAGACCAGGGCATTGCCCTGGAAACGGCAATGACCCAGCCGTGGTCCCCAGGACCTGAGGAAGGCCAGGGGACCTGACGATCACTTTCCCATCAGACCTGGGGAGACACTCTGGGATTCCCTGCTGAGGAGGCCCTGAAATTCCCGTTGAAAACGTGATGTACATGGCTACGCACAGGGTCCTCCCTGCAATCCAGGCTGTGTGGGAAGTGGGGACTGGAGGATCGTGGTTCAAATCCAGCCAGGGAAAACACTAGCCAGGCTGAATCTTAGTCAAGGAGCTGGGGGTGACGGCCCAGGCCCGCAGGGCCCCCCGTTACACCAGAGCTATGGACACAGCGTTTGAGCTCCAAGCCCAGCCTCAGTCAACACCAAGGCTCTGCCCGAATAACAGCTGACAGCAAAATGAGAGGCATGGCCAGTCACAGCACGACGGCCCAAGGGCACAGGCATGAGTTCTAACCCAGTACTTCCAAATCCTGTGAGGAGAAGCCAGACCGCCACCCCTGGAGCTAGCAAGCCTTCCCTTTCTCCCATTCCCGCCTGTGCACATCCAGCTCACGACTGGACAATGGGGTAGTGTCAGCGGACTCATTTTCCTGCTCAGAGATTCTCCTCCGTGTGTGTTCTTTTCTCTGGTCAGCAGAAATGGAGGTTGTAAGTGTGTGGACTGAACCCCAGGTCAGGTGGGGACCTGGGGTCAGGTGTTGCTCAGGCCGGGGCTTCTGCAGACCTGGGGAACGTGCCGGTGCCACGTCTCAGCCTGCGTGCATCAGCCCTCTCCTGCTGCCTCTCAGCAGGCCTCCTGTGGGAATGGAGGTGGACGTCGGGTCTGGAGGGAGGCTGACCAGGGGTTGTGGGACGGGGATGCAGAGCTCAGCCTTGTCCACTCTGTTCACATGATTTCACCTCCACCATCCGCGGTTCTGGGGAAATGGACACATGAGCAGCCTGGTTGTGCTGTGAGGTCCAGGATCGAGGGCAGGTGTCTGTGAGTCCTGGAATTGTGCGCTGTACAGGACCGAGGGCAGGTGTCCGTGAGTCCTGGCGTTGTGCATGTCCGGGCACTGCTGCTCACCCTGAACCTTGTGCTGAGCAGAGCTGCCTCCTGAGGCCTCTGCCCCGGGTCCTGGCCCCTGTGGTGCTGCTCCTTACACTCCTCTCACACTCCCCTCCCTGAGACAAAGACAAATCTCACCCTGTTCCCTCACCACATCATTACCTGAAGGAACAATGCTCATTTCTTGAGGAGGGATTTTTGTCTAAACTCCATGGGCTTAGGAAAGGCGTCTTCCACCTGTGAAGGTTTCATCCTGAGGAATCACAAACCCTTCTCCTCACCAGGAGACAGCACCCTCCAGGTACCTGCTGTGTGTGTGTGGAGCAGGAGGGGTGCAGTGCTCTGCTGGCCTGGGGTCCTGGTGCCCCTGTGTGAAGCAGCCGTGGTGACTGCGGACACCGCAGTAAACACACCAAGCTGTGGAACTCAGATTTTGGCCTCCAGGATGGCAAAGCCTTCCTCCAGTTCCATTTCCACACAACAGTTTACCCAGCATAGGAGTCCCCACACAGACACCAGCAGTGTGACTACCACCACCATTGGTACAGATTCTTCCTGTTGATTTCCTCTCCATTCTCCTATAAGCTCCTCCAGCTCCTTGAGAAAGCTTCCTTATTTGCCCTCCTTTGTCTTTCTGAGCTGGATTACCACACTTCACGTGAACTCCCCAGAGTCATCTATGTTGTCACAAATGCCAGGACTTCCTCCCTTCCATGGATGAACAATCTCCTGTTTTGCAGAGATACCACATTTCCTTTCTCCATTCCTTGTCTCATGGACACCTGGGTTAATCTCCTGGCTTGCTGATGTAAACAATGCCACAGCAACTGAAGATAAGAAGGAAATGCGCCAGTGGACATTACTGGAGTTTAGAATCGATGGCATTTCTAGTGTTTGTGTGCTCATGGACCGTGGTATAACTTCCAGTCACGTTCTCATTTACATTCTCACTGTCAGCCTGCCTGCTTTACATGACCCAGCTTGGCCCCCAACACTCGGTATCTCTCATGTTTTATACGCATTTTTATTGTGCACTTTTGCACAAACAGAGACCTTGCCCTCTCCCTCTGCTTCCTCACTCAAGGCTGGTTTTCTATCACTTGAGTCAGGCCTCAATTTCCTTTTCCCTTTTGGATCCATGACTGGTACTCAAAGTCAGAACCTGATGCGTTCTCTCATTGACTAGCCGCCTAATAACTGGCCCACACCCCCAACACAAGGGTTGGTGATTTCCTTTCGTTTCTTTCATTTCAGGGTTGTTGCTAGTTAACGGGTCCTCAGCCCATGTGTCCCACGGCGGAGCTGGCAGTCCCTCTGTCAGCACACCTGATGGTACCTGCTGACAGCTCAGCTCTCTTCCCCAGCAGGAGAGCTGCACACAGGTCAGAGCTCAGTGCCACAGTTTCTCCACCCTGACTGCTTCTCTGCCATGTCCTGGGTCCCCAGGAACTCTGTCGCTTCTCCTTTCCTCTCTTCCTCAGAATCTGCTAAGCTTTGTGTCAGTGGATTCTTGTTCATGGACAAAAGTGTTGTTCACGTTCAGGTCACCATCTTGTCCAGCACTAGGAATCACTGCAACCAATGAATTGAAAGACAGATGCAAGGAAACTGCCAAATGGTTGATAAAACAATTTGAAGAAGACACGAGTCACTTGTTGATATTTACCAAATACTCATTTACCTATGTTTTGTTCGGTGTGTGACACACTGAGGTTATTACAAGTACAAAATACACATGATTTTGTTCCAAATACCCAATACATATGAATGATAAAAATAGATTGTAACAAATGATACACCAGAGCCCACTATCAAACATCTGCCTGAACCCTGGCCATCTTGGTTGGTGGTCAGAATGAAGTAAAGTGTGGCAAAGCCACACCTAATCTCGGCTCAGGAAGGAGGCTCTGTGAGCTCACAGATGAGCACCATTCTCCTGGAACACACCAGGAACTGTGGGCCCTCCTTGGCTGTGCAGGTCCAGACCAGGCATGGAGCTTATAGCACGTGAGACCCTGCCAGTGTGGAAACGCACTCACAATTGATTTACACTGTTGCATGTGCACTAGGAGGTCACAGGCGTATTGCACTTTGTGTTTTGTGTGTGATCAGAAATGCTGACAGAACGATCACCAGGCACAATGGCAGAGTGAGAGGACATATGTGTCCCTCTGCTCCCCAGACAGCTCTCAGTGTTCTCACACTCTGCCTCAGGCTCCCAAGGAGCTGCAGGTACAGTGTGAACCACAGCGCGTGGTCAGTGTGTCATGATGACTCCAAGGTGACCATTGTCACCAAACTCCTCCAGCACAGTCACCTCTGCTCTGGGAGCCCCATCTCTAGACTTCCCCCCAGAGCTGCTTTATAGCAGAGGACATGCAAATAGGACGTCCCTCTGCCCATGAAAACCAGCCCATCCCTGACCTGAGCTCTGTGAGCTGATTCCACCAGTGACTGAGCACAGACCACCACCATGGAGCTGGGGCTGCGCTGGGTTCTCCTTGTTGCTCTGTTGAAAGGTGATTTATGGGGAGCAAGGGACACTGAGTGTGCAAATGCACATGAGTGGGAGGAACAATGGACATGTGTGTAAACATTGCTGACCAGGATTCTCTGTGTTTGCAGGTGTGCAGTGTGAAGTGCAGCTGGTGGAGTCTGGGGGAGGCTTGGTGCAGCCTGGGGGGTCCCTGAAACTCTCTTGTGCAGCCTCTGGATTTGACTTCAGTAACTCTGGCATGCACTGGGTCTGCCAGGCTCCAGGGAAGGGGCTAGAGTGGGTGGCGGTTATAGGGCATGATGGAAGCCAGCAAATATACGTCGAGTCTGAGAAGGGCAGGTTCACCATCTCCAGAGACAACTCCAAGAACATGCTGTACCTGTAAATGAACAGCCTGAAAGCAGAGGACACGGCTACGTATTACTGTGCTGCACACAGTGCATGGAGTTCAGTGAGAACCCAGACACAAACCTTCCTGCATTGGGCTCTGGCCTGCAGGGGGCGCTCAGCACACAGGGAGCTCAGGCTCAGCCCCAGGGCCAGGAGCAGAGGGAACTTCCAGCTGTGCTCCTCTGTGTCTGCCCTGCCTGTGCTCATCCTACCCCAGTTCCACTCTGTGTCTGCCCTGCCTGTGCTCATCCTACCCCAGTTCCACTCTGTGTCTGCCCTGCCTGTGCTCATCCTACCCCAGTTCCACTCTGTGTCTGCCCTGCCTGTGCTCATCCTACCCCAGTTCCACTCTGTGTCTGCCCTGCCTGTGCTCATCCTACCCCAGTTCCACTCTGTATCTGCCCTGCTGCTGTGAGGTTTACTTAAACATTGGATGCCACTTCCTGAACAAACACAGAGAATAACACGATAGTGAAATTGACTTTGCCATGTTCACCAAGATCAGATCTGAGGAAGGCTACAGATAAAACAAACAACACAAGATCAACCCAAATATAATAAAAAAAAAAAATGCTGCCAACAAATCTCCTAAAAACATTGAGACATGATGGAAGACAAAGTGTTTCACGATATAGAGAATTCTAGAATATTAGGAAACACATTTACTATCATATCAAATTTAAACTGCACATCAATATATTGCGCACTTCATACAACTAGAAGCACCTTACATTAGCTACATTATCACCAGGAACATGCTGGGATGCATGATGTTATGACGTTACAACAACTGCAAGGCCACTAAATAAAAGAAATGTTTTATCTGCACCTTAATTCTGTGGGACAACTCTTATATATCTTGAACTTCACTGCCCAAAACATTGTTGTGAGCTGAAATGCTCATATCTACATGTTCTGATCAGGAAGTTGGCAGAAAGATGGATGGCAAAGGCCATTCTGATGTTTCTCAGATAGAAATTAGGGACAGGGCAGGGAGCATGGAGCACAGGACATCCTAGGGAGAACGTGGCAGAAGTGGCTGAGGTACGTTCACATCTTGGGTGACTGTAGAAGTCCACCTAGGGTAAGCCAGCAAGCTTATGGGAGTGTGAATCTCTCAGCAGCATCAAGCATTCAGGATTGCTTTCTTTACTTGTAATAAAATGTGAGAAGAGAACAAAAGGATAAATGTAAAGTCAGAAAGAATCAATGGGTAATGAACAGAGAGTTGTATTAGGAGGTGCCGCAGTATGCCTGTGGCCAGAAGAACAAATTCTAAGATTTGCTGTGGACAGAGAGAGGCCGGGACTACTGACTAGGAAAACAGAAAGGAGAACCAGGGACATTTCAGAGGCAGCCACCCCCAACCCAGACCCACACTGCAGCTCCTTCTGTGTTCTGCTGAGATTTTAACATAAGACACACACACATAACGTCATCCTCAGGGACTGAAATGACTGTGGGACATCAGGGTCTCTGGTCCTGAGGGAGGCTCTGTCCTGTTCAACCCCAGGCCCAGGGCCTGCACCCCTCCCACCAGGCCCCATTCTGAACGTTCACCTCCTCTCTGTGCTGACGTGCTGGGGACCAAGACCTGACTTCCCACTTGGACCTCCAAGTTATGGAACCCAGAAGCACAACCCTCCTGACACTATTGACTCAAGTTTGACTAAGAAGCCACACTTGTGAGTAGTATTATGGAAAGTGTGCCATGTGAATGCCTCTGCACACACATGCTCAGACACATGCACACACATCAATAACAGGTCAGGTCTCCCATTCACATCCATGTGCACATACATCAACACCTGCTCAGGTCTCTAATGAAGACACAGGAAAATCAAGGCTTTCTATGCAGAATATAGAGCCCATGGAATAGCCAACTGATCGTTTAGATTGTATATCAAGATCAATTAAAGATGTAACTTGAAACTCTTCAACTTTCTGCTCAAGTGACAAATAAATAAATGACAGGCTTTGAAGTGGAAGAAATGTTGGCAAATCCCACACCCAACAGCATTTGTGCATCCAGACTGTGAGAGGAACCCTCAACACTCAACTGTTGGAAAACCCATTGATGAACTGGCAAAGACTTGTACAGATATTGTGTAGTTGTGCCTAGGCTAATGCATGTCAAGTGCACACTTGGTGGCTGTGAGGTTCATGTCGGCATTTATCCTCAGTGAGGTTGTTGGCAGTAAGCAGTCGATGAGATGAGAGGAAGTGACAGACATGCAGATGATGACAGAAGAAATGCAGGCTTGTCAGCAGTGTCCCCATGAGCCTGGCTCTCTGAGTCTTCTTTCAGCAGTTCCTGCAGTGCATCACGTCTCTCCTGCTCTCACTAGAGGACCGTGACCCACTCAGCTCAAGAATGGAGCAGAGGACACTGACCTCAGCAATGAGGGAGAGGAAGGGCAGATGACGTAGCAGACATGAGATCTTCTCCCCAGAGCACACGGCTGTGTGGAACCTGTGTGTACTTTCCCGTCTGTGCAGGGAGGTGACTGTAATATTCAGATCAGCGTGGGATGAATACGTGGATAACCAGCAGGTGGCAGCAATGGGATGCCGTGTGTTCTGGGAGGCCATCTTTGTGGCAATGCCCCTCAGGACTCTCACATCTGCCTCAGCACTGCCCTCCCTGACACCTCCACCCCGGGTCTCACTATGTAGTAGAAGACATGCAAATAGGGTCTTCTTCTACTCACTAAAACCACCCAGCCCTGACCCTGAAGGCGTGGAGAGACGTCAGCCCTGGATTCCAGGTGAACCATTCAGGGCTCAGGCTGACCCAGAGCACTCACCATGGAGCTGGGGCTGCACTGGGTTCTCCTTGTTGTTCTGCTGAAAGGTGATGTATGGAGACAAGACACACTGAGCGTGCAAATGGACATGAGTGGGAGGAACCGTGGACGTGTGTGACCATTGCTGACCAGGATTCTCTGTGTTTGCAGGTGTGCAGTGTGAGGGGCAGCTGGTGGAGTCTGGGGGAAGCTTGGTGCAGCCTGGGGGGTCCCTGAGATTCTCCTGTGCAGCCTCTGGATTCGACTTCAGTGATTACTACATAAGCTGGCTCCGCCAGTCTGCAGGGAAGAGACCTGAGTCGCTCTCATACATCAGTAGTGGTAGTAGTAGCACATACTACGCAGACTCTGTGAAGGGCCGCTTCACCATCTCCAGAGACAACAGCAAGAACACACTTTACCTGCAGATGAACAGCCTGAGAGTGGAGGACACGGCCGTCTATTACTCTGCTAGAGACACAGTGCAGGAAATCCTGTGTGGGCAGACACAAACCTCCCTGCAGGGCGCTCAGCACCAGCAGGGGGCGCTCGGCACAGCTTGGAGCCGGGTCAGCTCAGGAGCAGCTGCACACAGAGCCCAGGGCTGCTCTCCTGCTGTCTGCCCTGCCTCTGTGTCCACAGTGTGACAGCATCTCTCCTGAGTTCATGACCCGCACTCCTCTGGGATGTCTCCAGTCCTTTGCTGGGACTTGTAAGAATGAACAGAGTATCACGTTGGAAGCAAAAATGGCTCTGCAGTGGTGACCAGTATTTGATCCTGAAGAAGCTCAGGGACCCTGGTGACCCCATGAGACTCAGGACAAAGATCCCAGGATTCACAGAATTCCTTCTGTGAACATGAGGGAAAATGCCTGGCATGGTGTCTGTAATCCTAAAGACTTGGGAGGAGGAGAAAAAAATGAATTTGAAGACCTCATTTCAATCAATAAACTGAATGTGGCAGCCTTTCCTGTGAATCCAGCTATACCAGAGGTAAGTGTGGAATCACTGTCTGGAACCTGCTCCAGGCAAAAACACAGCACAGTACCAGAAAATAAATAACATCAGAAAAGTTGCAGAAAGGGCAACAGTGGGAAATATGTGCCTAACAAGAAAGAGACTCTGTATTAAAAATAGGAGAGAGAGAGACAGAGACAGAGAGATAGAGACAGAGACAGAGACAGAGAGACAGAGAGAGAGACAGAGACAGAGACAGAGAGAGAGAGAAAGAGAGAGAGAGAGAGCACAGCCTATTGTCCCATGACTCTTAACAGGCCTCAAATGCTGCCCTCCTCCCTCCACCTGTGGCACTGCTCAGGGGTTCAGAACTGACCTAACAGAATTGCTCCATTCATTCACTTTCTGACTCAGTGATTCTTGGTATCTCAGCCTCCTTTTCTCTTTGTCCAGACACCAAATGTACTTGGGGACACAAGTCATAAAACACAGGGGTCGGCCATACCCCTGGAGCTCAGCCTATTGCTGAGCTGGGAAATGTTGGTGGACTTTGCAGTCTCCCCTGACCAGGGCCTCTTTCTGGGCATGAGGGGCTGGGCCCAGGTGATCTCACAGCAATCTGACTGTGCTTCCTGCATCCTGGACGTCCCCTCACCTGCTCAAACAGGTCCTTGTTTTTTCTCCCATTACATTCTGATCAGAGAAGAGGAAGTTTAACTTTCTGAACAAGAACGTGTGGGTGAACTCTACAGGCTTTAGGAAGAAGACCTCAGAGTTCTGAGATTTTCCCCTGGACAATTTCTGTGGATGATGAGACAAACCAATCACCTCATCAGAAGACATCCATTACTCTGTCCATGTGGAGACAGATGTGACCTCATTTGGAAGAGAAAACTCTGGTAAGGAGGCCCTGGTTCCCGTAGCACAGGGAGGAGTCTGTAGAAGACACTTCTGTATTCATCATTGTAGAGTGAAGACAGGATGGGAAGATTTGTACCTAACAGAAATCATCAATAGTTTACACAAAATCTACTTAACCTATTGAACATTTATCTATGTGTGTGTGTGTTGTGTATTTTATAACATCCTGTTGTTGGCATGTGTCATTATAATGAATTAATTAATTAATTAATTCCAAAGTGAATAAATGAGGAAACATACAATTAACCCTGTGTGAGCTCTACTGATGTCTAGGGGCCTGCAGGTCAGCGGTGTGTAGACCTCAGGGTCCAGGCACTGTGGCACACTGTGTTTCATGGGTAACGGGGACAGGGAAGCATCATCTCAGGGCACGGGTGAATACTTCTGATATTGGTGCTCATTTTGGTTTCCTGAAAACACTTTTCAAAATTTTTATAGAATGGAAAATATTGTTCCACCTCTATTGGTACAAAATTCATAATTAAATACACATGTATTTAGATTTGCACCATTGCCAAAATTATTATTATTATTATAAATGTGATGTTCACAGGGTTACAGTTGAATAAGTTAGATAAAGAATAGGTTTTCTTTGCACAATATCAACCCTTCCCTAGCTCTCTCCCCATTTCTCCCTCCATCAGTTGTATAAGTCATCATCTACATAGTGTCTAGTGAGTACCACTGCTGCCTTTACTCAGCCTTTTACTTCCCCTCTGTGCAGCCCCATGATCCCGAGGGTGCAGTTACTGTGAAACCATTGTGAAATGAAGCTAATGCACAGAACATCACCTCACATGGACTCCTCCATGTTCTGCAGAGATGATGTCTTCTAGGTTCTGAGACTTGGATCGTCCCTATTGTTGAAGAAATGACCTGGTTTCAGGCTTCTGGATTTCTGAGACTTGTCCTGAGGCTGCTGTAGGATCACTCACGGAGGACGAGCCCTGTACTGATGAAAAGATGTGTTCTGGAGCCATTTCATTAAGTGTTCTGCAAAAACTGTTAGATCCTGAACGTGTCATCACCTAGCTGGGCACCTGTCAATAGTGCGTGTAAGTCTAGCAACTCAGGAACCTGGCATCTGAGGATTGTGTTCTAAGCTAGGCTGGGCAGGAAAGTCCATAGGACTCTGATCTCCAATTAACCACCAACGGCAAAGAATGAAGCTAGGGCTCAGTAGTAGAGCCTGAGCCTGAAGCAGAAATGCACAGAGACTGCACACAGGCAGTCCTGGAGTTCAAGGCCAAGCACCACCATCATAAATAAAAAAGTAATCATCTGTCACCTTCACTTTAGCTCCAGTATTTCATGTGCATGTATAACGAGCAACAGCGTGTTGACTGGTGCTTCTCCAGAGAGACCGTGAAGGTTAAGACGCCGCCTCCAGTAACGTGTCCTGTGACATCATTACTGGGCAGAGCATGTGGTGTCACCTTGGTGACCCCTCTCAGCACTATTGGATGACAGTCGTATTCATATATTTAGAAGAGACAGCAAGGCAAACCACTCAAAAAGAGCCAGGAACTCAAGACGAGGAAAGCGCAGTGGAAGAGGAACGGACACCATAATTGGAAGGCTCCTCAGAGCACAGCGCGGGCAGCGGCAGCGCTCACAGAGCCCTGTGCTCTCAGAGCTTCTCCTACAGGGGCCGGGGTGAGGACAGGCCGCATCCAGTGCCTGATGCTGTCATTCTACCCTGTGCCTGAGGCGAGAGTGACAGACTCACCGGGTCACCACAGGGGCCAGCTAAGTCAGCATGACTGTTATCACAAACATGGAAGATATAAATGCTGGCTTTGGGTGGAGTGTGGGGAGGAATTCTTCTGCTGAGAATGCACACTCCAAAGTTTTGTGCTGGTTTTCGGGATTTTTTTTAACATTTTTAATTTTAGTAAGGTCCTGAGATGAAAGTAAAGTTCCAACAAGAGAAGAATAGAAAAAGTAAATGGGATAGGTGTGGACAATGGAATAGAACTAACCCACAGAAAGGAAGAAAGACTGTCGTTTGTGATAAACCTAAAGGAAGTTAGCTTAAAAGAAATAAACCAACCATAGAAACACCAGTATCACATTATGTCTAAAAGAAATAGACTGCATAGAACAGAAAAGGAAGTGTTGGTTACTAGAGAATGAGGAAGGATGGAGGGAGGATGGGATTAGAGGGAGGCTGGAAGTTGGGTACAAAATTGCATGAAATAAGGAATCATATGGTGGGTAAAACAATTGGAAGAACATTAAAATAATTTATCAACAGTTACCAAATCCATGGTTACCTATGAGAAATCTGTTACATGCAGTGACTCATTGAGGTTATGACAATATACAATACACATGGGGGCTGGGAAGGTGGCTCAGTGGTAGAGCGCTTGCCTTGCATGCATGAGGCCCTGGGTTCGATTCCTCAGCACCACATAAGCAAAAAGAAAGAAGCCGGAAGTGGCGCTGTGGCTCAAGTGGTAGAGCGCTAGCCTTGAGCTGAAGAACTGAGGGACAGTGCCCAGGCCCAGAGTTCAGGCCCCAAAACCGGACCTCCCCCCAAAAATATACATGTGATATTGTCACAAATACACAATGCATATGAATCAGAAGAAAAAAAATCAGGAAAGCTTGACAGTGAGAAATGATACACCAGAGCCCAGTATCAGGAATCTGCCTGAACCCTGGGCGTCTTGGTTTGTGGTCAGAATGAAGTAAAGTGCAGCAAAGCCACACCTGATCTAGGGTCAGGAAGGAGGCTCTGCAGCTCACAGAAGAGCACCATTCTCCTGGAACACACCAGGAACTGTGGCATCAGGAAGGTGCAGCTACTGCTCTTTCCTGGCAGCCTCTGGGCTTTCCTCTTCCCCTCAGGGTCTCAGGTGGTTTCCTGTTTCTTCTCTAAGTTCACATCTCAGCTTCCTTGCCAAATGTTCATGAAGCGATCCTGGGCTCTGCTTTAAAAAGAAAAGTGAAGCCTCTGACCCTAGCTATTCCGGGGTCTGACATCTGAAGCTCATGTGGGAAGCCAGCCTGTGCAGGCAAGTCTGTGCTGCTAAATCTAATGATCCAAGACAGCAGTAGTGAAGCTGTGGCTCAAGTGGTAGAGTGTTGCCTTCAGCAACAGCTCATGGTCTGGGTCCAGGCCCTGGGTTCCAATCCCCAGGACAGCACAAAAAATGCAGCCTGCAGGCTTGTATCTGTCATGATAGAAGTTAGTTCTGGCTGACCATGAACCCAGAATTGTACACTAATGGAAGTGTGTCAGCACACTCACTACTAGAATTCACTGAATGTCCAGGGCTCAGGGACTGGTCAGGTAAACATGAGGAAACCAGGAAAACAAAGATTTCAGGTGGATTGTGCATGTAGCTGTCCAACACTGATGATGGAAATGTACACATAAGACCAAGAAGAGAAAACATAAATTCACAACCCAGTAGTGTAAAGCACTGCAGATCACTGGGTCACAGACACGTGTGAATACCACACACTGCCCTCCCCAGCCCAGCCCTGAGGGCCTTTCTCCAGGTGCCTCTATTTCCAGACCTCCGGAGGTTCAGCCTCACTGTTCTCTGCCAAGCCAGTGTCTCACAGGCCTAGGAGGCTCTTGCAAATGCCCTGAACAGTACCGGACAGGACACAGACAGGAAGGGGACTGCTGTGCCTACAGTGCTCAGGACAGGTACCCGTGGTCCAGGCTGGTAAGCAGAGCTGTCTGGAGACACAGTGCAGGGTACTTGAAGGTGGAGATGTACCCTAGCAAGACCTTTCAGGAAACACTTTTCAACCAATAGCTGACTGTGGTGTGTGTGTGTCAGCTGGACTCCTGCAGACTAAGAGGAGCTCACCAGGCCAGCACAGCCAGGCCAAGCTGTTCATGAGGCTCCATCTCAGAGAAAGATGCTCAGTGTGCTGACATGAATTTATAATCCCAGGCATGATGGAAACTTCACTTAGGAAGATGGAGCTCCAGGTGAGAATATGACCAAAATCACCAGACCCTTCTCAAAATGGCACTGATACCATCAGAGACTGGAAGTCTGCCCAGTGCTAGAACACCTGCATGGCAGGCCGGAGGCCTCGAGCTGAAGAAAACATCAGTAGCTGTGCTGCCCAAATGAAACATTTCCAGCCCTGTTATGTACTCACATGCACACAGTGTGAGTGGATTTACATTGTGTGTCAGAAATAAAATGTGGGCTACATTGTGCAAAGAATCTCCAGGTTAAGAGGCCTGGCTCTGTTGACAGACCTTGAAACAATGAGTAAAAGCATCAGGCACCAAGTTTGAGTTTTGATTTTTGACTTAAAAAAATGAAAGACTAGAAAAGTATCTTTCCAGTTGAACTAGTCCGTACCTGGTCTTGACAGCTCATAGGTAGGAGTGTACATGTGTGTGTGTTGGTCTAAATTATGTGTGTATATAATTCCTACATATTCACACACGCCAGCCTATAGTTTGTATATATGATGGGAGTGTCGATGTGTATGCACATACAAATACACCATATGCAATTATCTGTGTGTATATACACATAAGGCATTTACATAGGTAGGTCACATGTGTGAATATGTGGATGTAATTGCATATGCAATATTTACATGTGTGGATGTCGATGTGTAAATACCTTCAAATCCCTGGGATGGGAAGGAGGTTTCCATGTTCCCTACTGTCTTTCCTCTGTGAATACCTCCAGGTCCCTGAACAGCTCCCCTACCACACCTCCCATCCCGTGTTGTGAGGATGGATGCTGGGCTTGATGAACTGGAGACTAGATCCAGACTGAGCTCTCTTGAGGGCAAAGCTGAATCTACAATTCAGGGCATCCTGCAAGGACAAGTGTGCTGTGTCTTTCCCTTCCTCCCTCTCCTCCCCTCAGGTCTTCACATATATGTATAAATCCCCCATGAAACTATAACTATCTGGCTGGGTAAGCAGGTCTACGTATATTACATTTGTGTTACCCACACGCTTCAAGATAGGTTCTACTGTTTCTGGTCTAGTCTGCAAGAACATGGAGCATTCCTGGGGTGTCGGCCCTGATTGGGGCGTCTGCGATTTGGCTAGGGTTGGTGGCTCTCTGTCCTCAGGTGTGCTGTCCAGGTGCTACGGGAGGAGGCCCTGCTGGCTTGTGAAGCTCTCACACACCCTGTCTCTCACCTGCGCTGACTCTGGACCCTCCATCAGCACCACCGGACCCCTCACTGTCCAGAAGAGCTTGGCGTGTTGGGCATGCAATCTGTGGTAGTCTCACTAGCTGCAGCCATCCCGCACGGGCTCCACCTCCATATTCAGAGCTATGGTCACAACCAGAACTCTGCATTGGGACTCTGTGAGCTCAAGGACCTGGCATGGAGTGCTGTGCAGAAGAGACAGTGAGGGGACTCAAGTGAATCCTGAGCAGAGTGTTTCCTCCCTGAAGGGACAGGGTCAGCAGGGGGCCAGCGGAACCACCAAACTCCCACAGTTAAAAATAGCAGGTGCAGAGATGGAGGCTGGGGAGTGAGAGGCTCCAGTCTCCTCTGTGGTCTCCTCAGCTTTAGCTCATTACCTAGGAGAACCCACAACCCACAGGCTGTAGTGTAAATCACCAGCTTCTGAGCACAGTAAGCTTTTTCCATTCATATGAGCAGCATGGGAAGAATGTGCAGGAATAGGAAACAATAGAAAAAGACTCAACATTTTCAGAAACTGGGTGTATTCAAAACATCCAGTTGTCATCAACATGAGCAATGTCATCATCCACAATCAATCCTCTATCTTCATCTCCAGGAATGCGGCTTGAGTCTGACTGGAATAAATTCTTCCTCACTCCTTCAAGAAGTCTGAGCACAGCCAGCTCTCTCTTCGGATGGCAACTTGCGCAGACATGGTGACACGAGAGAAGGAATCAAATCTGAGGTGAGAAGGGAGCCTGACTGGATGAAGGCCAGCTACCAGGTCCCTTGCCTGTACTCTCTAGCCAAGATGACAGTGACAAAATACTTTCCTCATTACAACAACACAGTATCTCCTTTCTATCCCTCTGTCTCTATCTCTCTCTTGTACATTTCTGTCATGAAGATATCACCATAACTAGAGAGAACATGTATTTAAGATAATAAGCTAACGCATTACTATTTAATAACCTGGAGCTGAAAAGTTTTAATACTGATTAAGATCAACAACAGTTGATTTACAATTGTTACAATCAATGTAATGCATTTAAAGAAGGCCATGAGCTAACTGGAGGAAAGTCAGGAGGAGGGATGAGGGATGGGAAATTACAGAGGAACCAAAGGAAACATGTCTGGATGAGCCCTAGGTTTGCTTGTGTGTGCCAATGGTTGAACAAGTGTCCATATTCACCATGGTCAGATGCACCTTTAGAAATGTGCAGTTAATTACATTCCATATTAATTCATAACAAATTGTGATCTGTTTTGCAACAGATAATGAACACATGTCAAAATATAAAAAGTACCATACATTTATATACTCATGTCTATATATAAACAGATGTGATACAAGAGACTCACAGTCACACTTGTGCCTTCACTGGGTTCCCTCCCTTTTCTTTCAGTTAACACAGTAATGGCGCTAATTCACACCTGGTCTCACTGCAGAAAAGAGCTTCTTCTGAAAACCTCACAAAGTCAGCACCCTGTGTGCTCGAGATGTTCTAGTGAGCAGACTGGAGGGGGAGTAGGAATCAGAGAGGTACGCTGAGGATAACTTCAATGAGACATGAAGTCTGTAGACATGTCACAGCTATTTATCATTATTTTTGTACTGTGCTTGTTTCCAAAAAAGATAAAAGATAAAATTCATATGTACAGGAGACGTTTGCACACATGCACAGGATTAAATAAGAGGAGGGGTTTTTACTGCTCAACAAGACAAATCACATAGAGTTATTGTGCTTTCCTTCATGTAATCATTGTCAGACTCCCCACTAGCTCTACTACATCAGCTCTTCCCCTCTGAGGCCTCCAGCCTAGAGTTTCCTTTATAGTAGTCCGACATGCAAATGGGGTGTCCACCAGACGATAAAATCAGACCCCACAGTTCTGGGGGACCAGCCCAGCCTGGATTCCAGTGATCCCATTCAGTGGTCAGCTCAGAAACAGACAAGTCTCCATGTTGTTGAAGCTGAGATGGGTTTTCCTTGTGGCTCTTCTACAAGGTAATTTGTGGGGAGCAAGGGATGCTGAGTGAGAAGAACCGTGGATGTGTGTGACCATTGCTGACCAGGATTCTCTGTGTTTGCAGATGTGCAGTGTGAGGTGCAGCTGGTGGAGTCTGGGGGAGGCTTGGTGCAGCCTGGGGGTCCCTGAGACTCTCCTGTGCAGCCTCCGGATTTGACTTCAGTAGCTATACCATGCACTGGCTCCGCCAGGCTCCTGGGAAGAGGCCTGATCTATGATAGTAGTAGTATAAACTATGCAGACTCCGTGAAGGGCCGCTTCACCATCTCCAGAGACAACAGAAAGAGCACACTTTACCTGCAGATGAACAGCCTGAGAGTGGAGGACACGGCCATCTATTACTGTGCTAGAGACACAGTGCAGAAAATCCAGTGTGGGCCAGACACAAACCTCCCTGCAGGGCACTCAGCACCAGCAGGGGGCGCTCGGCACAGTTTGGAGCCGGGTCAGCTCAGGAGCAGATGCACACAGAGCCCAGGGCTGCTCTCCTGCTGTCTGCCCTGCCTCTGTGCCCACAGTGTGACAGCATCTCTCCTGAGTTCATGACCTGCACTCCTCTGTGATGTCTCCAGTCCTTTGCTGGGACTTTAAGAATGAACAGAGTATCACGGTGGAAGCAAAAATGGCTCTGCAGTGGTGACCAGTATTTGATCGTGAAGAAACTCAGGGACCCTGGTGACCCCATGAGACTCAGGACAAAGATCTCAGGATTCACAGAGTCGTAATTTGTTCTGTGAACAAGAAGAAAAAGCCTGGCATGGTGACTCATGCTTGCAATACTAGAGACTTGGGAGGAGGAGATTAAAATGAGTATTTATGGAGGCCAAATGGGCAATATCTTAATAACAACACATCTCAATCGATAAGCTGTATATGGCAGCTGTTTCCTGTGATTCCTGCTAGACAGGACGCAGGTGTGGAATCACTGTCTGGAACCTTCCCCAGGCAAAAACACAGCACATCAGAAAAGATGCAGAAAGAGCTGAAATGCATGTGTGTGCCTAAAATAGTAGCCCTGAATTCAAAACAGTACATAGAGCGACAGAGAGAGACAGAGAGACAGAGACAGAGACACAGAGACAGAGAAAGGGAGAGGGAGGAAGAGAGAGGCAAAGAGCGCACAGCCCATTGACCCACGACTCTTAACAGGACTCAAATGCTGCCCTCCTCCCTCCACCTGTAGCACTGCTCAGGGGTTCAGAACTGTCCTAACAGGATTGCTCCATTCATTCACTTTCAGACTCAGTGATTCTTGGTATCTCAGCCTCCTTTTCTCTTTGTCCAACCACCAAATGTACACAGGGACACAAGTTATAAAACACAGGAGTTGGCCATACCCGTGGAGCTCAGCCTATTGCACCCTGAGAAAGGTTGGTGGACTCCTCAGTCTCCACTGACCAGGGCCTCTTGCTGTCCTCCGTGGGGACATGGAAGTGGATATGAGGAGTCTGGATTGGACTGGACAGACAACAGGCCGTGTGCATGTAGACTGCCCTTGCTGGGCCCCGTCTGTCCTGGGGTTTCCTCCATCACGATGGCTCTGGAGTCCTGCGGATGTCCCGTCTGGGATGGAGGCCGGGTCCCTGTGGCTCCGTCATGAGCACTGTCACTGTGCACGTGCATCGTGGGCACGAGGGGCTGGGCCCAGGTGATTTCACAGCAATCTGACTGAGCTCCCTGCATCCCGGACACCCCCACCTGCTCAAACAGGTCCTTGTTTATTTCTCCATTACATCCTGATCAGAGAAGAGCAAGCTTTACTTCCTGAACAAGAACCTGTGTGTGTGAACTCTGCAGGCATTAGGAAGAAGACTTGGGAGTTTTGAGGGTTTCCCCTAGACAGTTTTTGTGGATGATGAGACAAATCATTCATCTCACCAGGAGACATCCATTACTCTGTCCATGTGGAGACTGTGGTGTCTTGGGTCCTCATTTGGATGTGAAAACTCATCAGGAGGACTGGCATCTCGTAGCACAACACTAATTGTAAAAAGATGAAGAAAGGAAAGATTTCACCAAAACAAAATCATCAATACTTTAGAGCATGTGTCTACTTAGATGTTAGTCATTTAACAATGTATATACATATTGAATAATAACCAGTACCTGTTAACATATGTCCTTTATAATAATAACTAAATTAATTAATTGGTAAGCAAATGCACTGGCCCTGCCTCTGCTCTTCCTGCCCCAGCTCTCCTCTGTGTCTGCCCTACTTCTGCTCATCCCCTGACAGTCTCCCAGGCACTTCTCCATGTCTGTGTCTGTAGTCATCCTTGACTGTCTGGATCAGATGTTCTGCTTTCCACTGTGAGGTTTACTTAAACATAGGGAGACTTCACTTCAACAAGGCACAGAGAATAACACATTGGGGAAACTGACTTTGCCATGATCTCCAAGATCAGATCTAAGGAAGGCTAGAGATGAAAACACAAATCCACCCAAACCTAACGGAAAATGCTGCCAACAAATCTCCCAGAAACATTGAGACATAATGAAACATATATACAGAATTCAAGACTATTAGGAAATACATTTACTATCATATCAAATGTAAACTGTATATATCAATGTATTACTAGATTTTAGGCAACTAGCAGCAGCCTAGGCTAGCTACCATCATCTACATGAACATGCCAAGGTGTGTGATGCTATGATATTACAACAATCACAAGGTCACTAATAATAGGAATATTTTATCTGCACCATAATTCTGTGGGACAATTTTATATATCCTGATCATCACTGCCCAAACATTGTTGTGAGATGAGCTGCTCATAGCTACGTGTTCTGAACGGGAAGTTGGCAAGATGCATGGCAAAGGCCATTCTGATGTTTCTCAGATAGAAGTTAGGGACAGGGCAGTGGAGCATGGAGCACAGGACATCCTAGGGAGAACGTGGCAGAGGAGGGCTGAGATTAAAGGTCCAACAAGAGAAGAACAGATAAAGGAAATGGGAGAGGGTGGACAATGGAATAGAACTAACCCACAGACTGGGAGAGAGACTGTCATTTGTGATTTCTTATAACTAGTATATGTCTAAGAAAAACAGAAACTATCAGACAAGTTGATGTTAGGCGAAGTGAACCCAAAGATAAAGATTCAAAGGATTTATCTTTCTTGTGAATGTCTCTAACATATTTATAAGATGATTTTTTGTTGCTTTGTATGTCCCTCCCCCAGGCTATAACCCCTGCTTTCACTGTAATTGATATTGGTATAATTTGTGGAATGGAAGGAAAAAAAATCATTTAAATAGGGATCCACATGGACATGTTGCAACAATTAGATGTCCAAAAACAATTTCAGAATGAGAGGACATGTGTGTCCTTCTGCACCCCAGACAGCTCTCAGTGTTCTCACATTCCCCCTCAGGCTCCCAAGGAGCTGCAGGTTCAGTGTGAACCGCAGCACGTGGTCAGTGCGTCATGATGTCTCCAAGGTGACCATTGTCACCAAACCCCTCCAGCAGTCACCTCTGCTCTGGGAGCCCAATCTCTAGACTTCCCCCCAGAGCTGCTTTATAGCAGAGGACATGTAAATAGGACGAACCTCTGCCCATAAAAACCAGCCCAGCCCTGACCTGAGCTCTGTGAGCTGATTCCACCAGTGACTGAGCACAGCCCAGCACCATGGAGCTGGGGCTGCGCTGGGTTCTCCTTGTTGCTCTGTTGAAAGGTGATTTATGGGGAGCAAGGGATACTGAGTGTGCAAATGGACATGAGTGGGAGGAACTGTGGATGTGTGTAACCACTGCTGAACAGGATTCTCTGTGTTTGCAGGTGTGCAGTGTGAGGTGCAGCTGGTGGAGTCTGGGGGAGGCTTGGTGCAGCCTGGGGGGTCCCTCAGACTCTCCTGTGTGGCCTCCGGATTCACCTTCAGTAGCTATGGCATGAACTGGGTCCGCCAGGCTCCAGGGAAGGGGCTGGAGTGGCTCTCATACATCTATGGTAAGAGTAGCACATACTACGCAGACTCTGTGAAGGGCCGCTTCACCACCTCCAGAGACAACAGCAAGAACACACTTTACTTGCCGATGAACAGCCTGAGAGTGGAGGACCAGGCCGTCTATTACTGTGCTAGAGACACAGTGCAGGAAATCCAGTGTGGGCCAGACACAAACCTCCCTGCAGGGCACTCAGCACCAGCAGGGGGCGCTCGGCTCACACTGAGGTCATGGCAGTCACAGGAGCAGCTGTGGAGCTCAGGCCCTAACTCCTCTGGGTGCCTGGCCTCTCCATGGGATGCAGTGTCCCCCACAGAGCTGTCTAGGGTATTAAGGGCTCCTGTGCTAGGTGAGGACATTGCTCTCCAATTCCATTGGTTTCTCTCCATTGCAGAGATCCTGAGCAGAGTCCATCTGGCCTTCCCCATGCTGTCCTTCGTCTTCCTAGAGGAAGAGCAGACACTCGCTGCTCATTTTTTTTTCTTTTGGTAGGACCTTGGGCTGGAACTCTGAGCCTGGGGGCTGTCCCTCAGCTCTTCAGCTCAAGCCAAGCACTCTACCGCTTAAGTCACATAACCACTTCTGGTTTTCTTGTGGTTTATTCCCCAAGAAAGTCCCTGAGAGTTTCAGGGACTTTCATACCCTGGCTGGCTTTGAACCACCATCCTCAGATCTCAGGCTCCTGAGTACCTGGGTTTGCAGGCATGAGCCAGTGACACTGGGCTCATACTTACTTGTTTACACTCAGCCTCTGCCAGACTGTGGAAATACTTCTTGTGAGTCACAGACATCTTCCTGATGCCCGGAATGCCCAGCAGGCCTTTGTTTCCTTGATGGCCATTCCTGGGTCTAGGATATCGGGATGCGGTCAGGATGTTGTGAGGACACTGCATCCGAACTCAGAACACACCGTGTCTCCCCATGCCCGGCACTGAGGTTCTCTGTCCTCAGATGTCCTGTCCCAGCAGCTGCAGGAGTCACAGGCTGGCCTGGCAAAGCCCGTACGCAGTCGCTGTCCCCTGCCTGATGGAGCCGGGTCCCACAGCCCCAGGGAAGCTGATGGGAAGGACAGGAGACATCTTCAACTGCAGCCGTCTCTCAGGAGTCGAGTCACAGTGTCTGAGGACACAGCCAAGAACCAGATGTCCATGAGCTGAGCACGGTGACCAGCAGGACCCAACCATGGATTACTGTGCAAGAGACACCAGGAGAGACATCAGTGTGAACCCTGACAGACTGTCCACCGGACCCTGAGCCTGAGCTGTGGAGGTGCTCAGGGCCAGCAGCCCTGGATCTCACCCCAGAAGCTGGGTGGGAGCTGGGTGTCAGGTTCTGTGACGCTCCCTCCTCCCATTCCCGGGGTCCCTCTGGACACCTCCCCAGCACCCCACAGTCCCTCTGGACATGCCTGCCTTCCTTTTGTTTCCTCTTCCTCACGTGCTCACTGGCGCACTGTGGGAGGGAAGGACTTCCTCTGTGTGGATGAGATGGGATCAGCCATCAGCTTCCTGCGGAGCACTGCCACTTCCTGTGTCCTTCTTCCCTGATGCCCACACCTGTCTCAGGTCAGCGGCCTCCCTTCCTCTTCCCCTCAGCCCCCGTGCTGTCCACTCTGTGGACACTCCTGCTTCACAGCACACAGCAGCTGCTGAGGGTCATTTCCACTCTGTCTACACCCTCAGGATGGAGGGGGATGGAGCACCACCTGAGCCAAGCATATGCCTGAATCCTGGCTATCTTGGTTTGTGGTCAGATGAAGTGAAGTGCAGCAAAGCAACACCTGATCTCAGCTCAGGAAGGAGGCTCTGTGAGCTCACACATGAGCACCATTCTCCTGGAACACAGCAGGGAACTGTGGACCCTCCTTGGCTGTGCAGGCCCAGACCAGGCATGGAGCTCATACCATGGGAGATGCTGCCAGCATGGAAAAACATTCACCATTGTTTTACACTCTTGCGTGTACACTAGGAGGTCACATGTGTGTTGCACTTTGTGTTTCGTGTGTGATCAGAAATGCTGATAGAACGATCACCAGGCACAATGGCAGAGTGAGAGGATATGTGTGTCCCTCTGCACCCCAGACAGCTCTCAATGTTCTCACATTCTGCCTCAGGCTCCCAAGGAGCTGCAGGTACAGTGTGAACCACAGCACATGGTCAGTGCGTCATGATGTCTCCAAGGTGACCATTGTCACCAAACTCCTCCAGCACAGTCACCTCTGCTCTGGGAGCCCAATCTCTAGACTTCTCCCCAGAGCTGCTTTATAGCAGAGGACATGCAAATAGGACGTCCCTCTGCCCATGAAAACCAGCCCAGCCCTGACCTGAGCTCTGTGAGCTGATTCCACCAGTGACTGAGCACAGACCACCACCATGGAGCTGGGGCTGCGCTGGGTTCTCCTTGTTGCTCTGTTGAAAGGTGATGTATGGGGAGCAAGGAATACTGAGTGTGCAAATGTACATGAGTGGGAGGAACCGTGGATGTGTGTGACCATTGCTGACTCGGATTCTCTGTGTTTGCAGGTGTGCAGTGTGAGGTGCAGCTGGTGGAGTCTGGGGGAGGCTTGGTGCAGCCTGGGGGGTCCCTGAGACTCTCCTGTGCAGCCTCGCGATTCACCTTCAGTAGTTACTACATGGACTGGGTCCGCCAGGCTCCAGGGAAGCAGGGCTGGAGTGGGTTGCACGAATTAATCCAGGTGGTGGTAGCACACGGTACGCAGACTCTGTGAAGGGCCGGTTCACCCTCTCCAGAGACAACAGTAGAAGCACGCTGTACCTGCAAATGCGCAGCCTGAGAACCGAGGACACGGCCCTGTGTCACTGCGCAGGGCACAGTGAGAGGAGCCAGTGGGGCCCAGACACACAGGTGCAGCGGTCTGGGCCAGCAGGCGCTGAGCCGCGTCAGCTGCAGGTGTGGTGAGGAGGTGGCCCTGGGGTCTGGCCTCCACCCTCCCAGGGCTCCAGGACCCCAGCTGGTGTCTCCCCTGCGCTGCTGCTCGGACGCAGAGGCTGGGCTGCTTCCATCTGAACGCAGGCAGGGCCTGACAGCGCAGCGAGGCCCAGGTTCCGGCTCAGGCAGAGCTGGCTCCGCACAGGCCAGGCGGGTCTGGAGCGCTCAGGGCTCGGGGGCGTGCTCTCCCGCAGGGTCAGCACAGAGACTCCGGGCTTCCTGCTGAGCACAGACTGGGCCCGGCTGTGGGAGCGGTGACCGCAGACTCCGGAGCCCGCGCTGACAGGACCGGCCTCCGTCCTCCCGGGTGGGTCCAGTGCGCGCGCAGCAGGTCCGGGCTGACGTCATCACCCGCGCTCCCTCCTTCACGAGTGCGCAGCCGCACTGGGCTGCGCGTGCGCCGTGGGCTCCCCTCGCCTGGGCGCGTCTTCCCGCGGTCCCCGTGGCTCGTCGTCTGGAGGCGGTGGCGGCCCCGGGCGGCGAGCACGGCCGCCGCGTCCTCCTGCTCGGTCACAGGACGCGGCCGTGCAGGGGAAGGACGGGAGGACGGCGGACGGGCGATGGCGGCCAGCGCGCTGTCCGTCCGTCTGTCCGTGCGGAGCCGCACCTCGGGTCGCGGGGTGCGGACGAAGGCCATGCGGGCGCCGCTCCGAGCCCGCGGCGGGCGTCTGTCCGCCTCCCTAGGCCGCGTCTCCAGGCGTCGCGCGGTGCTGCGGCTCGGCCCGGGCCAGGCCGCTCGGACCCCGACACGTGGTGTGGGGCGGGTGTTCGCCTGCGCACGCAGCCAGCTGTCCGTATGGGTCCCTCGCAGGACTCCTGCGCGTGCGCACACTGACCCGTGCCAGGTCTTAACCAGGACGGTGGCTCTGCGCAGATGCAACGGAGGCCGGCGTCTGCTCTGTCGGTCTTGGTGGAGGACATTCGGCCGTCTGCACGGAGCCCTGTCTGCCTCTGAAACCTGACCCAATCTGGTCGTGTTTCAGACCCAATCTGGTCGTGCTGCCTCTTGAGCGAGTGCAGCTTGCAGCCGACCAGCTCACCATGGACCCCGAGCCAGAGCCCATCCCCTGGCTGCGGTTAGCCCTGCACGCGCATGCGCACTGGCGTCTGATGAACCAGGCCAGCGGAGGAGTTCGCGCTGAGGAGTTCCTGGCGGTCGGGAGGTGACGAGGTGCGGGACGCGGATCCCGGGGCACCCGGCAGGAGAGCCGCTGCCTTCCTTCTCCGCGGAGGCCGGCACAGAGAAGGCGGGAGCTGCGCGGGGCTCACGGAGTGAGGGCTGCTCTGCGTGACGGGGCCATGGATGTGCGGGCTGCGTGTGCACAGGAGTCGGCGCAGGCGCACTGCGCGGTGAGTCCGGTCCGCGTTCTCGGGCGTGGGCCGTCATGGAGGGACGGCGGCGTCCGCACAGGAGGCCGCGCCGCGGGGAGACGCCTGGCCCAGGCTCGGCCTCCGCGCTGCGGGCCCTGCCGGCGCTGCGGGCCCGTGTCGGCCTCTGCGACCACATCAGAGGTCTGGGGCCGGGCGCGGCCAGCCGCCACAAGGCCCCGCGGCCCAGGGCCAGGGCGGAGCGCAGGCGGCGGACGGCCCAGGGCAGCAGCCTGCCCTGCAGCCAGAAGGCCCGGTCCAGCCCAGCGGAGCGGGACGGGGAGGGCCGGGCCGCCGCGGAGGCGCCAGGGCCTGAAGGCCCCGGCCAGTGAGAACAGGCTTCCGTCCGTGTGGCGACACGGGGAGGTGTCACAGCGGTGTGCGCACTCACACAGACGAGAGCGCGCGTTCCAGAGGGCTGCGCACCGTGCACCTCCACGTGCGTGTGTCCGTCCGCTGTATTTATACACAAGGCCTAGACATACATGCACACGGGCTCCGTGTCATGTGGGATCCAGATAATTCCGATTCAGGTTACACGAGTACCACCGGGATAGAAGGGGAAGGAAGCATAGATACATATATTCACAGTGCGCACACACATATATATATTCACAGTGCACATATATATTCACAGTGTGCACACATATATACATTCACAGTGTGCACACATATATATATTCACAGTGTACATATATATTCACAGTGTACACACATATATATATTCACAGTGTACACACATATATATATTCACAGTGTGCACACATATATATTCACAGTGTACACACATATATGTATTCACAGTGTGTACACACATATTTATATTCACAGTGTACACACACATATTCACAGTGTACACATACATATATATTCAGTGTACATATATGTATATATATTCACAGTGTACACACATATATATTTACACTGTACACATATATATTCACAGTGTACACACACATACACAGTGTACACACACATATATGTTCACAGTGTACACACATATATTCACAGTGTACACACACATATATATTCACAGTGTACACACACATATATATTCACAGTGGACACACACATATTCAGTGTACACACACATATATATTCACAATGTACACACATATATTCACTGTGTACACACATATATAACTCAGTGTACACACACATATATGTTCACTGTACAAACACGTATATTCACAGTGTACATACACATATATATTCAGTGTGCACACATATATTTTTTTCACAGTGTACACACACACACACACACACACACTTCCATCACAGGCTGGAAGGGGAGGTCTCCATACCCCTCTGCAGTCCTTCACAGGTGAATTCATTCTCCCTCCTGAAGGGCTCTGGGGGCTGTACCGAAAAGACTCTAATCTGAGAGGAGGCTGTTGGACTTGCTCCTGTGCCCAGCTCTCTTCAGACACTGGACAACCTGATGGACAGGACACTCTCAGCCTTGCTCATGGGGCCCTGGGCAGGGTACTGACCCATGTCCTGGACGCAAGCTGAGTTCCTGAACTTGTTCTGCGGTGGAATCTGAAACTGAACATGAAGCAGTCCTGCAATGGAGCCCCTGCACAGGTGAGGCCCAGCCTCCTTCCCAAGTGGAGCCCTCCATGAGCAGCCTGGATGGTGCCCCAAGAAACACAGGGACCAGGGACGCCCAATCCTGCATGGTACCCACACGACTCCTCAGAGAGGGGTCAGCTTAGTGGCCAGTTAACCAGAAATAACGGGAACTCGAGCACCTGTGACCAACACTGACCATCTGTGAGCACTACAGAGTTCTGTTTGTGAAAACAGGAATGAGATGCAACCATATTCACAGCACATA